GTTGCTGTTGCTGTTGCTGTTGCTGTTGCTGTTGCTGCTGCTGTTGTTGTTGGTGTTGCTGTTGTTGTTGCTCATTGTGATTTTGGAGCCCTACAGGTGCTAGCTCTACGCACAAAGCTCAACAACTCCAAATCAAGATCCATGCTCCCAAACATTCAGCCGTGGAAGTCAGAAGCCTGACTCTGAACAGCTTCCCCCGAACTATGAATCCTAAATCCTATGGAGACCTATAAAACCTTGAGGCAATCCCCTGTAAGAACACCCATAGCCCTTCCAAGACCCTGCGCAGACTTGAGGAAACATAGGCTCCTTAATAATTAGAATAGGGTTCTGGGGCCCATTATACTAGCATTTTAATAAGGAGCCCCCAAAGTAATTAGTGCAGGTACTTATGACGGCCCCTATATTATAGTACCTTAATAGATCCCTTATTGTAGCCCTTATAAACCCCTTTGAAGGAACCCTACAGTAGCCTTGTTATTAAGGACCCTTGCCGCCCAAATACGGCGCAATCCCACGCGAAGCTCGACCTCTGCCAGTGAGGGTGTTGGCCTCCTCGGCTTGTTTCTTGGGCTACGGGTTCAGGGTATCGACTGTGGAGTTCAGGGTTTAGCGTTTTCAGGGTTCAGGGTTTCGGCTAAAGGGGTCTATTAGGGTTCAGGGTTTAGCGTTTTTTGAGGTTCAGGGTTTTGGCTGTAGGATTTAGGGTTCAGGGTTTCGACTGTAGGGTTCAGGGTTTAGGGCCTTTTAAGTTCCGGCTATAGGGTTTGCGAGTTTTTTTTGGGGGAGGGTTTAGGGTTTAGGGTTTCGGCTATAGGGCTTAGATTTTAGGGTCTTTTGGGGTTCAGAGTTTCGACTATATAGGGTTTAGGCTTTGAGGATTAAGAATTTCAACTATAGGGTTTTTCAGTTTAGGGTTTCAGGCTTCAGGATTTCGGCTATAGGGTTTAAGGCTTAGGGTTTCAGGGCTCAGGGTTTCGACTATAGGGTTTAGGTTTCGTGTCACAGGTTTCAGGGTGAAATCGGATCAGGGCTTAGGGCTTGCAAACTTAACGGGGTTTCGAGTTTAAGTCTAAACAACTTGGGGAAAACATATTTTTTCCCCAAGATGTTTAGGGGAAAAATACTTTTCCCCAAGATGTTTAGTACTTAACGGGGTGGCGAGTTTAAGTCTAAACTGGCTATGGCGAGGAGTTTGGCGGATTCAATTCAAAGCATAACAGGCTTGATGGGGCTTTGGCCCGGATATGCACCGACATTCTCAACCCTACATAGACCGCGACCGTGCTAGGTACCTCAATTCAAAGGGGAAAGTATGTACCCATAAAATAGCCACTATATACCCATTATATAGCCCACTATAGGGTGGGGGTCCCCATTAAGGGTCCCTCCTTATCCCCCTTGATCGAAAGAAAGAGGCGGGGCAGTCCAGCAGCGTCAAGGATAGTTTGAGTCTTTTCGCTGCGTTGTGGGCTTCTGTTGGTTCGCGAAGCTTTAAGCCCGTAAACGCCTAAACCCTAAAAACCACTAAACCCCTAAACCCCTAAACCACTACACTACTATAAACCCCTAAACCACTATAAACCCCCAAACCCTAAACCCCTAAACCACTATGAATCCCTAAACCCCTAAACCCTGAACCCCTGTAAATCCCTAGACCCTATTCCTTAAACCCAGTGTTCAACGGTTTGGGACTTAGGAGCTGGAGCGTTGGAGTAATTCCTGCTTCAGGATGAAGTGCTCGGAGTTGGGCATCTTTTAGGGTTTCGGGGTTTAAGGCTTTAGGGTTTAGGGTTTCAGGGTTCAGGGTTTCAGGGTTTAGGGCTTTTAGCGTTTCAGGGTTTCTAGACCCTCCACCCCAAAACTTTCAATTCAGCGTCGGCGTCCCTGTCTCTTCCGAAGCGTCGCCGTCCACCGCGAAGATTAGGATCTTCGCCAAGGCCTTATTGTTTTAGTTCTGCACGGGTGTATGAGGGCTTTGTGGGGATTTCGGCTTTGACAAACGTCTTTTTTGTGGCTTTACGTAATTTGATTTAGTCTGGGCTTTAGGAAGGGTTTGTACAGGGCCGTGTAAATATCGAAAACATCTACTAAACCACCGGATCAGCTCTGATTGCTGACCCTGCACAGCTTAAGAATACAATATGCTAGAACTACACATGGGTGGTTTTCAAAATTGGGTCCCTTTTTGGGCCCCTGTTATCATACGGCAACTAATATTTAGGGTACCCAAAAGGGGATCCTAATTTTGACAACCGCCCACATGTAGCTATTGGGATCCGAAGAAGCAAGCAAGGCGAGCAAAACAAGAACTCAGAACTCGCCACTGAACCCAGGCCTTAGGGTTCACGTACCGTGAAACCTGAGACCCTAAAGCCTACAACCCCCATGAGCCTGGCATTCTCCCACATAGCTCATTAAGGTACCTGCAGAGGAACGCCCTGAAGGTGTAAGTCTTAAGTTATTCACTAGGGTACATGGGCTGACGCTTAGATAGTGTAGGCAAACCTTTCTCAGTGGAACAGACCCTGTCTTCCGAGAGGACACGCCCGGCAAGCCTAAGATTCGGCGCCTATAAGCCCTGAAAACTCCAACCCCGAAACTTAGTGCCCTACACTTCAATGGGAAATGCTTGAATCACAGAACTCACCTCTCAACTGCATCTCGAGTCACAGAGACGATCTCCGGGTGCTGCACGGCCGGACTGTGCTGGGACGTCCTCATGTACCATCGCTGACAGGGCTGAGTTGGGCATGTAGGTCAGGTACATATAGAATTTACGCATGCGATCTATGCAAGCAAGCATTGAACATGTGTTCATGTGCTCCACACACCGGTAAGTCTCCAGGCTTCCGTGTTGCAGCGATGTACAGGGTCTAAGGGTTTAGTTAGTTCCTTTTCAACCAGACCTGTCTCCCTACGAGGGAGACAGCCGATGCGACTAGGTCGATACAGGGTTCAGGGGTTAGAGTCGGTACATCCTTAAGGTCCATGTGGGAGTTTTCGAAAACTAGGGATACCTTTCTTTGGGGTCCTTGTAATAAAGGATCCTACTATTTAGGGCCCCTTTTCGGAAACCTCCATGTACCTAAGCAGTACATACTTTGGCCTTGCAGCCCTTTCCATGGACCCTTAGAAGTTTGCAGTGTGGTTCTCCGAATGCTCTTGCATACATGCATGTGTGTTCGTGTATATACATTTACACAGTACCGGTGCTCGTCGTTTCATTTTCGTTCATTCCTAGGCCTCTGTCTGATAGTGTATGTACGGGTCTACTTATGCAGGTATGCACCAATCTACCCAACTGCTGGTCTGGAAAATGCAATGCGCAGACCTATCTTGCAGTTTAAACCGAATCTGTGTGGGCTGTAGAAGCGATGTATGCAACCACCCTTGGGGCTCACAGACACAGTCAGCAGGGGTCAACGAAAGAACGAAACACGAAAAGGATCCCATACGTGCATGCGAGATCCTCAAACTTACATCGTCTTCCCAGGACCCTACTGAAGCTAAGTCCCTGCACAAGCTTCTTACAAGGATCCATAGAGGCTTCTATATTTGAAGCTGCCCCCACCCTGTAATAGTGACTGTAAGGATTATATTAGGGCCCTATTATACTCCTATGATACCACTATTACAGGGTGGGGGCCCCTTCTAACTTCTATACTTCATCCCGAAGTTACCAGGAATCCGACTGTCTTGCTGCGGAATGAGCGAACCTCCTCAAGAGAAACTTGCCGCGTTGGGTGCGTCATGAGGGTTCAAATCCCAACGAACTGAGCTGTTGGGGTTCGATGGTCACTCCAAGTATAATGCCCGCATGGACACTTGCAATGCACGCACAAGGTGTTGTATGAACACACGTAAGACAGGGATCAGGATAACACACTCACATAGAATTAGCTACACCAGACCACTCTTCAATAAATAGCCAAGGGTCAACCCTAAACCCTAAACCCTTAGCTCTAAACCCCAGCCAAGAGTCGACTTCAAAAGAACATCCATGGAACCGAGCCATCTTTCAAGGAAGAGCCTCTCGTGGTGATCCTGGAGAGCGGATAGCATTTCGTACTAGGGTCTGGGGTTATAAGGGTGCCTTTAATGGGGTGCTAAGGATTATGCAAATAGACTACAAACTTTCTGCGTTGGAATGGTTGAGCCCGTTTCGGAGCTTGAGCAACCCACAAATTGTCTTGTGCCTCATGTCGTTGTGACTTTGGCTTTCCTCTCGGTGTTTGCTCTGCAGGTGATTCACAGACTGGAGCGTTCTTTGCATGTCGGTCTACTAGCTACTGCTTGGAAATGAGAACCGCTTGTTCTCATTATGCATGACAAGGTCTCTGTGTGCACATTCGCATTTGTGTTGGCGGCGACTTCTGCTGCTGTGCTCTGTTGGTGTTCTTTTCTTGTGAGGTCGCAGAAGTCCGCAAGCCATCCCCAGATGCCTTGGTATCCTGAAACAAGAGGGGCAAACTTACATTTCCATCAGTATTGCTGAGATTTGGTGCTGTATTGTTTTCAAACCTTCCGAATCGAACTCCGTGGCCTTTTAGGTCGTCGGGTTATTGGTGGCAAGCTAGGGACGCGCTAAGTGCTTCACAGTTCAGGCTCGAAGCGCCCCAAGTATAGGCCCTAAACTTAACCGGGTTTAGGGGCTAGAAATGCGATTGTGCTTTAGCAGTACGTACCACTCAAACACCGTAGTAAGCACTACTAATAAAGCACACCAGCAAAGTGCTTCTGCTACTGCTACCGCTGCTGTTGCTGGTGCTGCCATTACTGCCACTGCTGCTGCTACTGCTACTGCTACTGCTACTGCTACTACTGCCACTACTACTACGACGACGACGGACGACTACCACCACTTCCTCCCAGGCAATCCCTGTGCCGCACAGCACCAAGGTCAATTTTCCGACTGGCATCGTGATTCATCGATGGCGGCAGTGGTAGCTGGTTCATACTCAGAAGATCCTCATGCCGGATACGACGGATACGACATATCATTTCACCTTGCCTCGCCATACCAAGATGACGGTGCGGTACACACTGATCGTTCCCAGCGTGCACAGGAAGAGCTGCAACCCCGCGTAGACATTGCGGCCTCCGAAGTCAACAAGGAAACGGGAAAAGATCGGAGCGATAAAGCGGCTCGTATAAATCCCGACCAGCATCCTCGAGCGATAGACTTCGTTACTGTATCCTGTTCCCGGTGTTGTTGCCCGACTGGCCCAACCCTCGGCAATCCCATTAGCCACGCTGGCCGAACCATAGACGATGCCGTCTGCAACAAGAAGAGTGATCGCGCCGAAGGTGCCCCTGGCTCCCCAGTCGAAAATCAGAAGGACACCAAACCATCCGGTTAGAGCGGCACCGAAGAACATGATCGACGGGGTGATCCACCGTCTGGAAAGCAAGATGGTAGTCATCGCTGTGAGGACCAGGCTTACTGCTGCAACGACCATGAGCGCCGCTCCACATTCCTCCGGACGCCAAGCATAGGACACTTCAAGGATCATGATTGTGGCGAACTCAATCGCTGCGACGCACATGGGCCGCTCGAAGCTGTAGCCTGGGTTCTTGTCAAGGGATTTAATTTAAGATGGCATACTAGGGATCTACAGTAAATCAAGTGGTTTCCTTATTAAGGTAACTTGAACTTAACACTAAACCCTAAACTCCTTAACCCTAAAGCCTACACTGCTTACCCTAAATTCCTAAACCCTAAACTCCTTAACCCCTAAACTCCTTAACAAGAGCCCAGTAACGAATCATGTGCCACACGATCGCCTCGCGAGCCTCCGGTGGCAACTCTTCGGGCTGCGCCTCTGCCGAGGCCTCTTCAGGGTTTAGGGTTTAGGGTCTCTATAGGGTCTACGGTATAGGGTGTATAGGGTCTAAAGGGTCTAGAGTCTATAGGTTTAGGGAGGGTTTAGGGTTTAGGGTCTATAGGATTAGGGCGGGTTTAGGATTTAGGGTCGAAAGGTTTCAGAGTTTAGGGTTTAGAGTCTATAGGTTTAGGGAGGGTTTACGGTTTAGGGTCTATAGGCTTAGTTAGGGTCTATAGGGTTTAGGGTTTGGGGTTTAAGATCTGTACGTGGACAACCAACCTCACAACAAGATCGGGAATCGGGTCGGGAATCGGATGGGATCGATCGGAGCGGTGTCGGAATTGAACCTAAGCCTTTAGCTTTTTGAAGTCTAGCGCTTACGCGCTCCACCAACAGGCAGGGCAGCGGCAGCAGTAGGGCAGGACAAGAAGGAATTAGTGGCTGCCAGTGACTCGGCTTTAGTATAGGGCTGACGGTTTATAGGGTTTCGGTCTATAGTACAGCTTCAGGGCGAAGGGTTCAGGGTCTGTATAGGGTCTGTAGGGTTTAGGGTTTAAGATCTATAGGGCTGAGGGTTTCTAGGGTTTAAGATCTATAGGTTCAGGGCGAAGGGTTTAGGTTCTATAGAACTTGGGGCTCAGGGTTCGCGTATAAGGTCTGAAGGTCTAAGGTTCAGGGTTCAAGGTTCAGAGTTTAGGGTTCGGGGGTGATAGGCCTTGAGGTTGAATATAGGAGCCTTAATCATTAGAAGGTTTTTCTCTTACTATTATAGTTATATATTGTGATATACCCCCCAAACCCTATTCTAATTATTAAGGCCCTACATTAGGCCTTGGGGTTTAGGCCTCGGCGCCTCGGTCTCGCCATCGTTCATCGCCTCTGCGGCAGAGTCCTCTCCCCCTTCCGCTTTGCAGCCCGGGATCTGGCTAGGGAAGGCCAAAGAGGACAGGACGAGGCCGCTGAGAATCATGATGGCAACACCAATCCTATACTGAACGTAGATCCTTAACAAAAAATGTGATTCTAAGCTGTTTCATAGGAAATATCCACACACTCGTTTTGAGGGTTGGATCCTTGGGGGCTGGATCAGGGGGGTTTGAAGGCCAAAACCAATTTCCTCAATAGTGCAGTTCAATATACCGATTTAAGGTTTCAAGCTGTTGTAGTATTAGCTTATTTATGTATTTTATTAGGAATTTCAGTGCCGGGGGCACGGCCGTTGACCAAAACATTTTAAAGCACACTGGGAAGCCAGCGTGAGGAAACCCTTTTTTGCCAAACATTTTTGCATTTGTCCAAGCCGGATGTATTGAGCGATGGTGTTCGCTTCTGTCCAAGCCGGATGTGTTGGAAGCTGAAACGTGGTCCTTTGTCACGTGCCACTGCTTGGTTGGCTTGGTTGCTTGGTTGGCTTGCTTGGCTTGCTTGGCTTGCTTGGCTTGGTTCGACTCGCCCTACCCATCCTGCACGCCCAAGCTCAGAGTGGTCTTAGAGACCGCTCCAGTCGGGCTCGGACCACGTGAGCAATGGGTCCTTGATCCGTGCGGGACAGCGTCGCTGGCCGGGCGCTGGGGATTTACTCTGTGTGCTGCTCGCCTGTCCAGCCAGGTGGTGTGTCCGCCGCGGGGTGAAATGCACACAGATTGCAGGGAAGGCCTCGCTACTATTAATAAATACTATGCCACGTACCCACACCACGGTCGAAATATTAACTTCGATCACTGCTGCTTGCCGGCATGGCCCCGCATGGCATCTTATGCTGTGCCTCATTGACAGGTCTTCAGTAACCGGCGCGTTGCGCAGCGATTCCGGTGCACTCGATGACGAGCATGACCTGTCCTCTTGCGGGCCGGTATGCAAGGCAATCGGATTTCAGCGCTCCGCATAGGGCAAAGACGGCGCATACTCAGCAGGGTGACCCCATCTTGGCCGAATGGGGGTGGCATTTAAAGAAGTCTCCAGTCCGCATGACTGTCAGAGCACACTCGTGTTTGCAAAGACGCTGGGGAGGCCGTTACTGTGTCGGCATGGCATTGCTTGGCTTGGTTGATTCGATTCTGCAGTGGCATCAATTCTGGTAGCATCAATCAATTGTGGTAGTCAGCATGGCATTGCTTGGCTTGGTTGATTCGATGCTGCAGTGGCATCAATTCTGGTAGCATCAATCAATGTCAATGGTGGTAGTCAGCATGGCATTGCATGGCTTGATTGCTTCGATTGTTGCGGTGGCATCTGATTCGATTTTGCGGTGGCATCAATTCTGATACCATCAGTTCTGGTAGCAGCAACTGTGGTAGTCAGCATGGCATTGCTTGGCTTGGTTGATTCGATTTTGCAGTGGCATCAATTCTGGTAGCATCAGTTCTGGTAGCATCAATTTGTCAATTGTGGTAGCAACAATTGTGGTAGCGCTAATTGTGGTAGCATGATTTGCGGTAGTATAACTATTGTGGTAGCATCAATGGCAAGGTCTGCCTGGCATGTTTTGACAGAGCCGGGGGGGGGGCAGGGCTGGCATGAAATTTGCATTTTGCCAGGTGAAGTCGTTTCAGAAGGCATGTGAGTGATATTTGCGCGGAAGGCTCAGTGAGTGTGTGTGTGTGTGTGTGTGTGTGTCAGCTTGCTTGGTGATTGATTGTGAGCCCCTTGTAACCTAATGCTGCAGTTCTGGCTCAAGTGGTCTGCCTGGCATGTTTTGACAGAGCCGGGGGGGGGGCAGGGCTGGCATGAAATTTGCATTTTGCCAGGTGAAGTCGTTTCAGAAGGCATGTGAGTGATATTTGCGCGGAAGGCTCAGTGAGTGTGTGTGTGTGTGTGTGTCAGCTTGCTTGGTGATTGATTGTGAGCCCCTTGTAACCTAATGCTGCAGTTCTGGCTCAAGTTGTGCTATGTCGAGTGTGGCCCTCCAGCATCTCCCTGAGGAATTGTGTCTCGAGGAGCAGGGCCAGGATCTCCGGAAAGCACAGCAAGCAATCTACTTGCTCTATTTGCTCTGCCCGAGAAAGGCTGTTGATCTTGTGACACCTGCAGTACATTTCAGACAATTTCCAATTGAGAATAATTTGCTACCTGACATGTCATTGTTTCAATGCAACAACATTTGAGGAGAGCTTTCAAACGGGGAAGAGACGGCATCCAGAAACCAGAAGCCTGGATTCTGTCAGCCTGTAACAAGAACGTTAGAGAGCACTTTGGCAAAGATTGATGCAGCCCTTTTTTTTGGCGCTTAAACTTTCATCATTACAATTCCGTGTTCATTCGAGGCACAATCAAAGCTTGGGGATAGCATACAGCCAATTCGATGTCGGGAACTACGGCAGCAAGAAAGCCGCAGACGCCTCAACGAAAAGTTCCGGTGACTTGGGGCGGGGCAAAGAAGAAGACGACTCGGACGATTGGGGACGCAAGTGGAAGGACCCCGAGAGAAACAAGAGACCACGAACCGGCTATTGATGCTACTGATGACGATGTGAGCTCTATTGACAACCCGAGCTCTTCGACAGCTGCTTTCTGCTCCAACACTTCGAGGTCAGTTTTGGGCGGCAAAACCTACGTTTGGCCGAAGAGAGTGGTGATCGTTGGTTATGGGGTTGCCGCCCATGGAAATCGTCCATCACCTCAGATGGCAGACTTGTTGGAGAGGTTGGACAAGGAAAGTAACTTTTCTAACAAATGGGAGGTTCGCTTGCAGGTGCAAATGCACGTGTCGAAGCTTCATGACATTTGTACATTTTTCATTCATTTCAGTTTCACTCAATTGACAATTGAGGGCAGTGACAGTGACAGTCATGGATGGAAGCCAAGGGAGGCCCAAGGAGGAAGGTTTGGCAGAGAATGTGGCCTATACCAGCATATCATGGAACAGGTGCCTGGTCGAACAGGTGTTGCTTCATGAATCGAGTTGTATAATAATTAATTTTAATTTTAATAAGAATTCACCCTAATGACCGAGGTGTATAGTCATCCCGCAGCGCTCAAGACGCTCCACTTCATCCTCAATTTTCCCGACAAGTTGCTCAGGCTTCTCGAGTCTTTGAATGCTGAAGGTCTTGGAGGTTTTTTTTAGGTTCAGGGACTAGGATAATTATAACCCTCCTATGTGGTCCTTCAATTGTCAGGATCTGCTGTTCGGCGGGATGGCACAGGACGTGTGCCATGATTGCGTTGGTCATGGCTCTCTTCCAAGTCGCTGTGCTGAACTGACTCATTGGTCCAGGTGACACTCAATTGTCTAGTTTTTGTAAGTATATCAGCTGTCAGTGCAGGTCTGTGGCATCGAATGCGTCGCATGGTTGGACACTTTAGTCCAGAAGCACAGAAAGGAAGATTACAGAGCCATCGCTGCCGATCAACAGCACATTATCGACTTCGCCAATGGCCATGACGTGTCGCTGAGCAGCTTCAGATTTTCGAATGTTGTTTTGAGGTTGTAATATGTAAATATTTAAATGCAATCCATGGTTCTGCCAAAGTGTGCATCAGGAAGCAGAAGCATCTCCTGCCGTCCATTGGTTGGTCGTCGCATGAATGGGGGGCAGCATTGCAAAATGCTTGGACCACATGGACCGACCAATTTGCAAATCAGAATGATTGGGCTTCCATTCAGATGTGCCTGGACTCGAATTCCGCATTGATTTGATTTGCAGTCTGCCCTGTAGTGCCAACACGTACCACTTTGACTCAGGAACTTGAAAACAAGAATGGTCAAGGACAAGCAGGAACATCCCGTGGACCTACCTTCCAGGACATTTCAGAAGCTTCAGAAGCGAAATCAGAAGACGAAGTCAAGAGGAACTGCTGCAGCAGCAGCAGCTGGGAGCAACACTACATTTTCGCTTCAGCTTCAAGAATAAATAATAACATTTCAGTCACAATTGACATCCTCAATTGAGTGTGTGTGTGTGTGTGTCGTCTTCAATGCAAAGCATTTGAGGTGCTGCCAGA